TCAATTTTTCTGAGTCAAAATTACTGTTGAAACGTTGACTTACGGTTTTATGGATGTAATTAAAGGTTTGGGACCGATGCTGCAATTACATATAAAAGTTTGGGACTTCGACCGCAAAAATTAAAGGTTTGGGTATAATTTGTAACAAAATGAAACGTTTGGGACCACCGCTGCAATTTTCCCATTATATTATGACCACATATTTTAGTAGTAACACCACAATTTTAATTTATTTTTTCATTTAATTAAATGGCATTAAGTAAAATTACTTGATTAACCCCACACTAAAATACATTCTTTGACATGAAATAATTTGTTTATGGACACCACAATCACAATCATTGTATCGTCTCTGTATTCATTTTCTTTGTGGTTTATCGTTTACAATGTTTTCAAGAGCCCATAAAATTCTTTCCTGAAAACTTCCAAAATCCTTTTTAGATTTTTTTAAAAAAAATATTAGGTAGCGTGTTTTAAATTTTATTTTTTTTATATTTTTTAGAACCAGTTTGTTACTAGTTGAAAATAGCACCGTTATAACGAGTTGGCCCGTGTGATTCGTCAGCCAGGCCAACGCCTCAAAACGGGGCTCGGTGGCCGCTAGAGCTGGCGAGTGAAATTGACACCTCTGGTGCGAAACTGGTAATTTGTTAAGTGTGTACTTTACTGGATTTGATTAATTAACAATTGGCTCTTGGGAAGCCATGGTATTCTAAAAATCCTGGACTTAGTTGATTTATCGGTGTTTAGAAGGGGAATGTTCTTATAGCTTACTTGTAACTATCATCTTTGTCGACGGATTATTGAATTGGTGATTAAATTCTACAGCCAAACGAGTGATTGGAATAATTTTTTTAACACTTCTAGTTATTCAGGTTTTCATTCAAATTTTTATGCAGGATTAAGGAGAGATCTCAATTGTATGGTTGTTGCTTGAGAAACGGAGACTACAAAATAATAAAATCAAGTGAAATGGTAGAAATTTTGAGGTTGTGCTAGGAATTTGACCATTAGACAGAATGGGTTGAAAAAAGACGAGAAAAAATAAAGAGTAATACTGTTTTATTTCTTTATTTTTAGTTTTACTGGATTAAGACAATAATTGTAAATTTGTTATGGTATATTTATTAAAAACATGTTTTAATTGTGGCGTAATTATAATGGAGCGTGCTAAGTAAAATTTGTTGTGCCCTCTAATAGATTATAGATATTAGAGGTTTCTTTAGTTGCATTACATTAATTATAATAAAAGTCCTCAAATTTTGTTCGTTTGTATATTTATGTTTTTAACTTTTTTGGTCGCATTATTATCTGCAACACTCCATTGATTCGTATATCTCGCCTCTATGATAGTTTTCGTCCATAAAGTTCATTGGGAGGATGTAAAATGATTAATTTTTTTAAAATATAAATACAAAAGAACGACAATGTATTTTTTCTTCATTTCCAAACACGGAAATAAAAATATTTTTGTAATAACCTAATCATCAAGCATGTAATGTGTTAATTAATGAAAGGTTGAACGTAAGAATTTGATGAAAAAAAAGATATGAACACAAATTTTTTAATGAACAAAGATCGATGTGCAATTAAAATTTGGTTCAATTAATAACAAATTTGGTGGTTATTGTCGGCTTTAAAAATATTGAAAAAAAAAAAAGGAAAATCACTATTTTTAGCATAGTGTAATAAAGAAAATTTACAAAAATAAATGAATAATTTGAAAAAATGAAAAGTAAAAGCAACTACCAGAAAAGTACCTCAAACCTTCTATTCTAGGCACCACCTTCCCGCAATAACTTCTTAGTTTGCACCACATAACGCCTAAATTAAAAACCCTAAAAACCCAAATTGTTCAACAATCCGATCAAAAGGCTGTCTCCACTCATATGGCTTCATCGGAAATCGAAATCGTATCAGAATCAGCTGACCAGAAACCCTCCAATAGGAACCCTAATGAACTCCAGATAATAGACATTTATTCAGCCTCTGCGTACGGAGACTTCGAGAAGCTCCGGCACTTCGTCGAAAACGATGGCGTTTCGGTTTCCCAACCTGACGGAAATGGCTACTATCCCCTACAGTGGGCTGCCCTCAACAATTTCGCTGACGTTGTTCAGTACATAATTGAGGTATACTATTGCAATATATGTCTAGAACTTGGAATTTCCTGTTTTCGTTTGTTTATTTGGGGTCTGTTTTGGGTTTGACGATTTTTGATATAATTGAGTTTTTGTGTGGAAGCGTGGAGGTGATGTGAATGCTTCGGATAATGCGGGGCAAACGGCACTGCACTGGGCAGCGGTTCGTGGTTCAATTGCAGCAGCGGACATACTGATGCAGAACGGAGCGCGTGTTGAGGCTGCTGATGTTAATGGTTATCGGGTAATTGTTCTGACATTTTAATTTTCAGACAGTGGCATTGATATGTATGCTGTTGAAGCTGTGTTGGAAATTTAATTTGCAGTCAATAGGTTTGAATTTAGGGTGTGTTTTGAGCCGCATAAATTTTCTTCGTGGTTTCTTCATTTACTATTGAAAAAGGATAGATTTTGTGGTAAACTGTTATAGACGTGGCATCAGAATGGATTACTTCTTTAGGAAGCGACTCAGTGTGTGGGTGATCTTTTTGGAAATTATCTGATGCTAGCAGAATTTCATTATTTTCATTATTTTTTGGTCCTTACAGTTGAAATACTTAGTAAATGAGAATACTAATATTAATTTCAAATATGAAAAATCCAATCCTCGTGTTGTCACCAACCAATGGAAAAGGCATTAGGCAATAATGTTTAAATGATTAGAACCTTGTGGTGCATATATATTTAATGGTGACCAAATTCACATGCACATACATTTGTGTATTTAATGGTGACCAAATTCACATGCACATACGTTTGTATAAGTAGCGTAATTTGTCCGTGGTCACCAAGCTGTGTTTTTATCTCGGACATATAGAATTGATGGATTCGGTTTAAGGGCAAAATCACCTCTCTCTCATTCGTATTAAAAAAGGAGAGTCGGATATGAGTTCTATTCACATGGGGCAGTGTGAAAATTCTGCGGTTCAGTTCTATTTTATGGTTTGTTGATGTATCACATATCTTGTGTTTCCATATTCCAATTGATGGCAGCTACCTAAATCAAAACTATTTACGTTGCAGGCGGTTCATGTTGCAGCACAATATGGGCAAACAACAT